GCTGGGTTTAGACAGAATCCTGAGCATTTATACTTTAAGTGGGTGGCGACTCAGTTCTTTGTTGTTCAGCTTGAAATATTTTATTTGCCTTTAGATGCCACAGGCGATGTTGAACCCAAGTGTTAGCTCTGAAATTAGTGAACTTCTTAGTTCTTTATTTCGCAGTGCTCCTTAATAAGGATAAAGCTTCTGCATACGTATCTGCAGTGCACTTTGTCTAATTAAAAATATCCAAGGCGGTAGAGTGACATTCAGGTTGTTTTGTGGGAAAAGCGACGAGCGTTGTATGTCGGTCCGTTGAAGCAACCGTCTTTTTAACTGTTTTATAGTAGACACAATAAAATGCCGAGCAGTACAGTGGGGTGTGCGGTTTCTGTGATAGCGCATCAATACAAGGCCGGCAGTGCAGAAGAACAGACGGAGTTGGTTGAACTTTGGGACATTGGTGGTTCCACCATTCATCAGAAAGCATCCGCTATTTTTCTTGAAGGTCTGCTGTTTTTTATTTGCGAATTTTTGCTCCAGTGGTGTTTTTGATTTCATCTGTGAGCTTACAGCAAAAATTTTTTGCTTAGAAGTGGGTTGTTGGTGATCTGATCTCACATGTTATGGATTGCTTTGATATTGCAACCTCCTTCTCAGTCACCAAGAAATTTCTGGAAAAATAAGACTTCATGAACTGATCTTCTCTGTATACTATGTAGTTTTAGCGGAAATTCCTGAAATGCAATTTTTACTGGTCCAGACCTTCCGAGCTCTTTGTGTTTTAATTTTTAGATTGCATCGGATTCTAATAGTTCTCAGTATTGTTGGATTCCGTTTCAGAACAACTACTGTGTACAGACAGATGAATGTTTCATTTTTATTTTGAGGAGCAACGGGTGCAATTTTGGTACACGATTTGAGTAACAAAAAAAGTGAATTGAATTTATCGCAGTGGTTGGCATTGCTTCGCGGCGAATCGTTGCCCATAACTTCGACAGCGTTTACTTCGCCGGTAACTTCACGGTCTCTGCTGACTGATATTGAAAGTGTACCTGTACCAGTTTTGGTTGTTGGATGCAAGTCCGATCTGGCGCCTGAACGAGCGAAACAGGTCTGACTTCAGTTCATTCACATCCAAGCATTGCACATGCTGTCGCTTAATTTAAGAAAAAGCTTTCTAATAAAAATGCACTGCTATACATACTGAGGTTTTTTATTAGTCACAAATTAATGTTCCTTTCGTGCTGTAGTGTATATGGGATTGAGGCACTTAAATTTGGTGCAGGTAGTATAGCGCTTAACAGTTTCGTACCACTGAAAAATCTGATGGTGATTTTTATGCGTTTTTGCCGTGCAGCGCTAGAGCGCTGCAACAGGCAGCAAAAACGCATATTG